TCTCGCGATCGGAGCGTATGGTATGCAGCCTTGAATCAGTTCGCTGCACTTCTCCCCACCATGGGGATCATTCAATGTGCGCGCGCGGATACAGCTGCAGTCGACGCATGCGTTCTGGGCCGGCACATTTGCGAATCGCGAAATCATCTAACCTCTAAACAACACTATGAAATGGGCTAAAAATACGAACAACTATTTTTACCGATTTTTTCTCCCGTTCGCATCAACATCGTCTCACTCTCACTTGCGTGTGTGATCATTTTCCCAACTTATCTTGCGCCATTCGATGAAAAACAAGCTAATTTTCGGAATCCTCTTCATTTTAGCATTTCAATGTGTTTGGAAGACACAGTGGGAGAGAGAGAGAAAAAAATCTCTCATGCACAATCAACTAATTGATGAAATTATATGTGCAAATTTTCACTAACCCCAATTGATCGTGCGCTTGGCGCACTCAGTGAATAAATTTGATAAGGAAATATCGGCGAGGGGCAAATGCAAGAATTGCATGCGCTGTCCGCAAGACCCAATGCCAATGTTATATAAACGAAGGAGGGAATGCAAGAGAGAGAGAGAGAGTGAGAGAGAAGGAAAAGACGACAAATAAAATGTTTCCTTTTCCCCCAAAGAGCATGAGGAAAAGTACGCTTTGCATGTGTTTTGCATCATGTCTAATTTGGGCAAAATGATCATTCACACTTTGCGCAGAGCCAGATTATCGTCCCTCCAAAAAAGAAGCGATCTCCGCCTTTCGAATAGCTCATAATGTCAATGATGACGGTTTCCCACCCTTTCTCTTATTGGAAGTCTTGCATTATGACATTCATGGAGAGTACAATGCAATTGCCAGAGCGCGCTGAAGCTTCACTTTCCAACATCGCGCGTATTTATAGAATGGGCATGTATTGCAGTGTATGATCTTCAACTCTCGCATGCAGTGCCAATAAATAGAGAAACAGCAAAAGATGACGATGCCAGGCGCTGATGACATAATGCCAGGCAGCAACTAGAATTGAAATTCCCTTTCTAGGTCTAGGCTACACGTTTATTATTTATAAAACGTTCAACTATTCCCCTCTATCTTTATATAATGTTTCTCAATATGATAACACCCAAACGCCTCAAGTGTTGGACGCGATTTTCTGGTGATCCTCGTCTCCTCGCTTTCTGATACGCGTCTCGCTCTCTCTGTGAATTCAAGGGGATTATCACGATTTTTTGGCTCACTTATCGCGATATCAGCCACGAACAATTATGATTGATTTCGGAAACTAGCGATAAACTACTTTGTAAGCAACATGGCGGGAAAAATTGCGGATAGAGTAAGATTGGATCAGTTCCAATCGTCAATCATAAGAACAATCATTCGGATGTTTCTGGTCGCTCATGCAACGTTCTTACGATGTAATTTATTATGAAATTTTGTTTAATATAATTAAAATTCCTCTTTTTTCTCTTTCTCCACAATAAAATCGAGATTTTGAGTGCTGAATTGCAATTGAAGATTCCTGCGAATTGCTATCAATTCTAGTGGCTAACACAGAAATGAAAATTTCCATGAGTTTTCTCCATAAAAGCATCACCTTTGCCGTGACGCAGCGAGGAATCATCAATTCCTTGGTTTATTCTGTGCAAATTGAGAAAAGTTCAACAAATTCTTAACAAGATCGTTTGATTTCTCAATATCATTCGCGGGAATCACTTCAGCTTTGATTCCAATTCAAAATGGCACGGTGTGAATGATCGTTGCATGGTGATCGTATTTTTTATATCGCCCCTTCAATGTCATTTAATCGAGAAATTCATCGCATTGTGAGGAGAGAAGAAAAAAAAAACTAGAAGCAAAATTGTCTAACAGCGCCAGAGAATAATTGAATGAAGGGAAGAAGTAAAAAAGCAAACACGTTTCCAATGTCGATGGATCTTACGAAATTCTCGTTATCAATGAATATTTCTTGGGAACGTGAAATGAAAAAAAAAAATATCGTTCGACTGTGTGAAAAAAGCATCGCGAGAGTGAGTTTTTTTCTGGTGAATTTTTGTGATATTGAAATAGAAAAGGCGCATGAAAATATCACATGCAGAGAGAGAGACACAAACGGAGAGTAAAAAGAGTAAAAATGCACTCTTCTTGGGAATATCGCGCTGACTGGATGAGATACATATAAATTAACATGTGATCATAATTGAAACTCGTTTGAAATCTCATACATGGAGAGCCAAGATGTGCGAAGAAAGTCAATTCCTCTCTTGCAAATGAAAATTGGAGCAAGTGAAATGAAAAATGATGATTTCCCGCCAATACTGGTTTCTGTATATATTATTATAAAGCGTCATGTATAATAAAATGAAATGCATGATGAAGCTATGAGAAATGCCGATGCAAAAAGCAGAACAAATAATTGCACTACAATTATACTTTTCTTCTACGCCATCCTAAGTCAAGAGGGAGAGAGAGAGATGAAAAAAATAGCTCTTTTTTTAGAAAATGAAATCTGCGCGATCGAATGCACTTGATGAGCTTTCAATTTTAATTGTACTTCTGCTGGGGAGGATCACAATTAACTGCTGAAGATCGATGGAGTGACAATGTGGCAGCACAATTTCTTGCTTATTGATTTGCGCCGTGCAATTGTGTCCGCGAAATGTCGCAACAAAAGTGCTGATGATGGTGATATTTTATCCTCCATATACAAAATAATGTTTTTCCTCATTCTTTGCGCGCAAAATGGCACTTTTGGCAACTCGATCGCGCCAAAATTGGACTGCAAAGTCGCAAGACGACAATATTTTTTTGTGTGTGTGCACGAAATGTGGGAGAATCTTTCTCTTTTTTGTTCCTCGTGCAACAAACAAAATGAAGAGTTGCAATTACATGTGAATCGTTGCGTTCACACACGCCATGGGATGCAAAAAGAGATTTCTTATTTGCTGCCAGCCACAATTTGATGATCGTGTGGCGCGCGAAAGAAAGAGAATTTCATTTTCTCCAAACACACAAACACAAAAGTACACTCTCCCTGGCTGTTTATGATAATCATCGGCGATACTGATAATCGTTTCGACTAAATTGGGTCACACACCAAGCGTACACACAGTGTTGAGTGTGCGGCTGAAGAAAATCTCTTGCAGTTTTTCTCTTTATCTCTCTCAAGTTTTTCCATAGCCACTGAATCGATGAATTACGGCTGTGATGTGTGTGCAAGGCGAGCGAGTGAAAGAGATAAAAGCTGCTATTATTGATCTTGTTAATTAAAATGATCGACACTTTCCACACAATTCTGCACGGAGTGCAACAATGATGTTCAATGCTGGAGAGAGTGAGAAATTCACGTGCTTGGACGATTGCACCTCATGCGCGGGCATTTTTTGGTGGGGTGACGCGCGAGGAAATTGCTCAAGGAAAGTTAAGCCAATTTTTCACAATATATACACACAACATCGCAGCTTTGAGAGATCGAGCAGCGAGGAAAGTGACGGCGATCGCTAATTTTTTCACCACAACAGAATACAAATCACACGCCGTGTGATGTTCTCGCAATCGTGATGGTGATTCATTAAGATAAATATAACGAGAGTCACACTGTTTCCGCATTGATTCTTAAATAAGACACTTTCCGCCAATATTTGCAATCACTGGTCATTTGGGTCTCTCGATCACAGACGCATTAAAGATGGGTGAAGATCGCAATCACGTGATTGTTGTGTTGTCGCTATTGAGGAAGCTAACAAAGGAGTTCCTGGTTGTTCCCAAAAAAAATAAGCCCACAGAGACTCAGCATTGAGGACGCACAGCAAGATGACAGTGGGATTGATAAATATATCAGAATATTGACACAATCATCGCCAAGATGTCACAAACAGTGAAGAGTGAATTACTCTCTATAGATAGCCAATGTCCGATATTACCAGCACTTTTGGAGGAAATTGCTGTGATTTATTAATTTGTATGTTTTCCCCGATGTGTAATTCCATGCTGGGGAAAACCACCTTTATTCCACCATGAAATTCATGATAATACTTTGATTGGTCGCGACGACGCAAGACAGCAGACGCAATGTGTGCACAGTGATTGTCTGGGCATAAAAATTCAATAAATACACAAATTGACGATCGATTTCGAAGATATTTTGCTCAGATTCTTATTGTCATTTCACTGAGGATTTTAGGACATCAAATTACAATTGTGAAAGCATAAATAGAACCTCAGAATGGCTTAAGAAAAGATATCATAAGCATCCCAAGATGTCCTTAAAACGTGCGTGCAAGTGCTGAATTCATCGAGAATCCGATATTCGCGTGAAAGCTTAAGAATTGAGAGCAAATGGTGATGAGATCCCGCATAGCGCCTCAAATATGAGTGAAAATGTTCACAATCAACTAGACAACTCGTTCTCTTTGAACTATTTGTATATGGATGCCCCGCCCATCCGAAAGCCCCGCCCACGCGCATAAGTAATTCCGAATCAAAGGCGATTGACAGGCTCTTCTGCTGGGAAACTTTCCTAAAGTCAAAAACTTTTCACTTTTGTAATGCTATTTATTCTATCTATTGCGATACAGCGACGTGAAAAGTAAAACAGCTGTCTGAAATTCCTGGGGAAACATTGATAGAGGAAGTATCCCATTTTACAATGAACACTCGCGCAATTAGTGATAATTCAGCTACCGGTTTGCCGGCAATTAGTGGATTGTTTGAATGAAAATAATTTCCCCAAAGCCAGTGAAGTTTTGAGGAGCGTCTCAAGGGGGCATTTCATAGGCTGCTGCTCCTTGGGTGTCTTTCGTCCTTCCGGCAAAGTGCTCCGTGCTTCTGTGGGGATTTTCCAGCACGTCAGAGATTTTCTATGCGGCGAGAGCGAGAGAGGATCCGAGATTGGTGTTTCGGTGAAAATGTTGCAAAATGTGTATACATAGAGAGGACAGAAGCGAGCTTCCACGCACACAGAAGCAGGCGGCGTTTTTCCGAAGTGTCGGAGAGCGAGAGAGAGGCAGACATGGTGAGAGAGCGCGAGGTAGACAACACGGTGCAAATTGTGTGAGTCGGTTGGACTGTCTGGCGCGCGAGAGTGAGCGGGACGGCAGGAGCGCAGAGAGGAACTCAGAAGCCAGCAGCTGAGAGTTCCTGCCTGCTGGGGTTTCTCTCAGCGCCAGAGACGAGTCGCAGCAGTCGGTGAGCGCGCACAGTGTTAGTGGAAAGTAGAGGAAGGTCGGTTCGTGGCTGTCATTTCTTCGACGGTTTCGTCATTCCGACTCGAGAGCGGATCGGGCGAGCACGCGTTCACTGTTTGTGAGGTGTTCCGGTATATCAGCCTGTTTCTCAAAGCCATAAAGTGAATAACACTGTGACATCTCTTAAGTCTCATCCTGCGCAAAGTTCCTACACACACTCCACCGATGTGGGTGATCCTGGAGCTCTAATTAAAAAAAAAGGCAAACAAACAAGAACATAAAGTTTTCGACATCTGTTGTGTGAAGAAGTTAAACAAAAAAAATATTGCATGAATTCTGTAGTGAAAGACACGAAGGAGATAAAAGGACTACTGAAAATAAAATAGAAATACTTTTACTACCTCATTGTGCAGTGCAGATTTCGTTTTATACTTTGTTTTTCATTCTGACAATTGTCATTGTATCTAAATATGTACAGACATTCTTGCTCCAAGTGCATGATTGCGTACAATATTGCGAGAGGAGACAAGAAGACATAATAAAAAGAGTTACCAATTAAACTGTGTGTGTGCTTTCGCTTCCTCGCGCGGCAACAGATAACTTTGATATCAGCCCGCCAAAAAGTAAAGTGTGCGTGCCGAGAGGAAGAAGATCATTCAGAAGAAATTGGACACTGCAGCGAGAGATCGAGACACACTGCGCGGGCGACAAATTGAAATCGAAAGTGAAACTGATAGTACAAAAAAAGTAGAGGAACTGAAAATTTAGATAGACGAGAAGAACAGAGGAGAATGCTTTAGGAAAGTGTGTGGAAAGTGTGTTTATGGAAGCAGTGAAACTTGTGCAGATGTAATGGAGACAGTTGAATTGATTGATTTCCGTGCTGAGTGTCGGAGGAGAATATCGGCATAAGGACTATCTATTATCGTCAGCGAGAGAGAGTGATCAATTTCGGCAGTAAAAAGACTCTTATTGTGGAGCTGGAGATGATAATGTTGCAGCACATTTCGCCACACTTCGTGGCTGGACAGCCACCCATTTCGCCGGCGTCGTCGCCGGTCCTGCCATCCCCGCGGGGCGGCGCCTCGCCCGGCACAGAGTCCGGCGCCTGGGTCCGGAAGACACCCAGTCCGCAGTACAAGGCCCCCGCGACGCCAGTGAAGCTGGAGCCCGCCGCGTCGCCGCGGGAGGAGCCCAGGGAGCCGGAGGCGCAGGAGGAGCGCGTGGAGAGGCGCTACGTGCTGGTGAAGACGGATCCGGAGTATGGGAACGAGGATGATGATGACATGCCGCTGGATCTGTCGCTCAAGTACTCAGACAGGAGGCGAGATCGCCAGGATCCGGGCACAGACTCCGATGACTCCGGGGGCCCCGGCGAGGACCGCCGCGAGGGCAGAGCGTACAAGAAGAGTCTCATGAAGCGATACTGTAAGTCACAAGTCTCTGATAACGCCTAGAGTCCCTCCCCCTGACCCAGTTCCCACACGTGTGAAGGGTTCTCGGAATTTTCCGTTGCCCGTGATCGATGATTCGCCCCTTTTGATTGCAAACACCGGGAGAAAGTGGGAATCGATTGAGGATCGAAAGGAGATGAAGTGGTTCGCAATAAGGGTGCTGCAGCGAAAGTAGGTCAAGTAAGGGTGTCCCGCTGCTCGGCCCGGATGAGAAAATGTCATAAGACACTGAATGGTGGCAGAATCCCGCCCTTTTCATGCCCAATCGTTTCTACCTTTCGCCACACGCACTCTTCCTGAGAAGAGAGATGTCTTCATTTGTCAGCGCGCCCGGGTGTCCTGGAGCCGAGGAGGTGGAGAGGACGCCTTGGCAACGGTGAGAGAGAGAGTTCAAAGAACGTCGCCGTGGCGAAGATAATTCATGTGTCTTGAGTTGGGGGACGCTTGAAAGGGATAAATAATTGAAATTTATTCCGCAGAGTTGATGTATGAAAACATCACAAAGCATTGATTGCGAGCAGAAGCTTTGGGGATCGAATTTTTATGAATAATTTCGAAATCATCGCCGCGACTGTGGCGAAAACATCGCGAAGACACCAAAACTAAAGATATACACACACAATATAAATAATGGCTCGGTGGAGATGCCCAAAATTCCTGTTCCATTATCTCTCAGGCGCGATGCTGAGAGGAAGTTATAGTCAGAGCACGTCTCTTCTGGCTCTCTCTCTGGCTCGTGGTGAGATTTATTCCTGCTTTTTTGCTCAACTAGTTTCCTCCCGGCATCTCTTGAAAAACTCCCACACAGTACGTCTCAAGTTCAAGGTCTCCTTCAACTGATAATGGCTCTCTGTCTCACTTGGCAATTCGCATTTGCGCATAAGCCTCTATCTCATTTATCAATTCTCTCGCCTTGTAGGCAAAAGCAACTAATATCAAATACACCAAAACTTCCCGGCACACACAGCGAAAGAGCCCCAAGACGACATGAGAATAAAAAGCTCCCGTGCTCTTGTAGAGAATGTTGTTCAGCCAAAGTTTCCCAATCTTTCTTCTTCTGCCTCTTCCAATATTCAAGATGATGTGATACAAAAAAAAACACCGTCTCGACGATCGGAAGTGGTCTTTTCTGTCCACCAGAATGACATGCTTTCCATCGAAGATTTTGTGTGAAAAGGGAAAATTCACCAAAGAATTGATTCATGGCGAGTTTGACAATGATTGAGGAGCTTTTGCTGAAGAAAAACACCGTCGAAAATGCTTCTCTCTCTCTCGCACTCTCTTTCGCTCTCTCGTGAATTTGGAAAATTACACCGAAAATATCTCACGTAATTGCGGTGCTTTGAATTGACGAAATCATTAGGAATGCAGTTTGATATCTTCATTAGCCGATTTGTTAAGCAATGCAGTCATTAAACATCTCTATAATGCCAACTGAAGCACTGCTGGAACAGCAACTTTTGACTGTTATAAGTCCGTGATTGATTGATAGTCTTTTGCGAAATTCTTAACTGAATCCTTGAAGGACTCTTAATGTGATTCTCAGCAAAATAATTCCATTTTCTCCTATTTTGAGCTGTTTTAGCAATTTTCTAACACAAAAATTACATTCAATTGTAGTTGGTTTTCTACAAAAGACTGTCTCGTGAGAATCCATTGGAATCTCATAGGATAATCTGCTATTATCCCAGGACAAAATACGAATAATCTTTCCACCTGTCATGAATGGCATAATTAAATAGTCTGAGCGACGATTAATCATTGTAAATGATGTGAAAAAGCATCTTTCTGCGAATCTTGAGGTGTTTTGCTATATTTCTATTCCAGTCTGAATCGGTTAGAGGCAGTTTATAAATGATCTGGCTTATTTTCCTCTGAAAGCCGCGCTCTCGCCGCTTTCTTACATAAGTCTCTTGGCATTCATCCCTAAATTTCAGACAGAGAGAAATTTTCCTCTAGCGGAACTTCATGTGTTTAAGTTTCGGGGCAAAACTTACCACACACGGAGAGTCGAAAAATTTCATTGAATGGCATGTCAATGAGTTTCCAACACACCATCCGCAATTGCAACATCGGCTATTTCCCCGAAAAATAGAGACATTAGCTGCGCGCGCGCATTTCACTCAATTCGATATATATTTCACTGTTTCAACTCAGTTCGTCAGGCGCGTGAAAAAGACGTCACGGTGGATGAAATGCATGAGTGATTGGTATTGAAATTGGCGTGCATATTCGCCTTTTTCTGGTCAGCATCGAGTGCGCTGCGCGGTGTTTGGCGAGATGAAAAACCATTAATAATATGAAAAATCATCGTCAGTTTGGCCCTGACCTACCTTAATAGTTTCACTGTGTGTTGGATTAATGTGTGTCCACTTCCACTATGGGATGAGGAAAAAATCATTTACATTCTGACGGTGGATTTTTCTTAATCATCGTCAGATGTGCCAAACGCCACAGAGTTCGAGTTCCTCTGAGTGCGCTGCAATTTGGAAGATATTAACACAGTTTCAGCGCGCTTTTTTTGGGCATTGAATGGCGTTTATTTTGGGTAGAAAAAGAGGGAAAAGGCTTTTTGTGTCTGGGTAGAAAAAAAGTGAAATCAATTTGTCAAATTAGTCCACCGCTGAACACGCACACAAGTGAAGAGTCATGAATAAATTTGAATAATTTCGACAGAAAATTTTTCCATTGAGAAAAATGTGTATTGAGTGACGACGTACAATTACATAATTTGCATAAATGTTTTCTTTCGCTTGCCAACACACAAAATCCAAAACCACCAGATTTAACTGTCAATTTAATTGTCCGTACAATTTGTGATTTTTCACCGAGTCTTCTGGGCGAGAAGTTCTATTGTTAGAATGCCCAGATGTTGCAGAGTGGAAGATCGCTCAATTGAGATGGAGAGAAAACTCTCCATGGAGTGAAGTCTGCGAGTAACGAGTGTGTAATTGCAATATCAATACAAATGAGGCACGATTAGATGGTCGAGTGGGTAAATATTTGAGCCATGTCTTGCGGACACTTCAAATAGCGCCAGCTTCTCAAGTTTTCACGCTTTGGCCGCTGGGCCAAGATATGATTTTCCTTCAGAATTTCCCTTTTCACTCGCCGATGCGCGTGTGTGTGTGTGTGTGTGGGTTTTTCGTCAATTCATAAACTCTCCTCAATGTGTGACTTCAGACAAATATAACTATAGTATTTTGAAGTGTTGTTGGTAGTTTTATACCAATAAAACAATTCAGGACAAGGTCATTTGCCTTTGCGCTCGCGGGTAAATTATCGAAAGAACACACAGAGTGTTTTTGTACACAGGCGAATGGTATAGTAAGACCCAATGTGTGGGTTTTCCTCCTCATCATTGTTGTCGCGGAAAAATTGCCTTATGATTAATCTCCTTTTTGATGCTTCATCACACAATAATGGCAAATATTGCTGCAACAATCCGCGAGAGTAAGAAAGAGAGAGAGAAACTTCCATTAAAGAAGTTTCGCGCGGAGATGGAAAAAAGGCACACAACTTGTGAAACATTCAACTATATGAGAATCTCTCAATTTCATCTCATCGTTAATGAGTCAAATAGGCACACACGTACTCGCTTGACCCCCACAAAAAGAGCCAAACGTGGAGAGACTCGCGCGATTTTGCAATCAGACGGAAATTGTGATTTAAATTTTTCTGAGTGTATATTGTTGTGGTGAAAAAATTAATATTCATAAATAAGTGGAAGAACGTGAATGCTAAAATAAGAGGAAGATGTTTCTATGACACTATTTTAAATGATTGTGCAAGAAATCTCTGTTGGTTGCATCAAATGATGAGCCGCTTTTTTTGTAAACATCTGTCTAGCCTAACTTGAGACAATTCTAAATCAACCTGAATCTATTATTAAGGCTTCTTAATTTGTATTTTACACCTTAATATTTAAGGTCTAAAGAAGCCTAGGTTTCGATGTTTGTTGAACAGATTTTGATTCTGATTCACTCTATGACAACTGAAATGATTATTCAAATCTCGCTGGTGATTTTACTGAAAAACGGACGTATCCGCATCGATAACCGCATACACACTGTGACAATCATGATCGCGTGAATGTCGAGTTAAATTCCTATTTGCTCTTGTGCCCTACGTAGCTTCACAGACACGTACGACTGTGACGAGGCGTCCGCAGGGCAGTAAACTCTATTGCGTTCAAGGAGCCAGCATCTGCTCCATCCGGGCTGTGCTTCCGATGGGATCCGCTGGATTGGCACAGTTCGGGCGCTTGGCTGTCTCTCTGGGTGGCGTGCCAGCAGAAATCAATGAGCAATTTGCCAGGGAGCGAAGCGCCACGAAGAGGGTGGCGCTCGTGGGGCGGCTATTCAATTGCACACTGCGACGGTGGGTGGGGGAAAATAGCTGGGAAATTGGGTTAGTGTTACAGTGACGGGGTTGTTGCATATAATTCATAAAGTGCATTCCGTTGTTACCAATCCTTCGAGCGCGCGCGCGCGCTCGCTCTTTTTCCCTACACAGGCCAAGGAGAACCTTCCCGCCAATGTGCGCCTTATTAATGGATATCCTCCACGATCTCACAGTTGCAGATGTTGCGATTTTTCTCCATTTTACGATCTTGTGCAATATTATTTATTGCATTTTTATCCTTCGACGCTCTCGTGTTTTGTGTACACTTCTCCTTTTGCAGTCGCAACCTCGATTTTGGATGTTATTTTGGATAAATGCTGAGAAGTGATTTTATGGTGTGTTCGCCTGACAAGCATCTTATTTCTCACTTCCCCCTTAAAATTTCACTGTGTATGAGCAAAGATGCAATTTTTACGATCGCGCTTCCTCAAGCGGTGAATGCATCGGAATTGAATGATTTTTACGAGTTCTTTTTTCTCACCTCACATTAACGATGTTGGAATGCATAGAAAGAAAACTGATTTTTCTGCGTCGATACTTTAATTGTGAGAAATTTCATTTTTTGATTCC